CTCTGCGCCTCCCCGTGCGCCCCGCAGCCGGGCCCGGCGCCCGCCGCCTGCCCTGTCCCCTGCCACTGCCAGGAGGGAGGCGTCACGCTGTCGGCTGACTGCTCGGAGCTCGGGCTCTCTGCCGTGCCTGGGGACCTGGCCCCGCTGACGGCTTACCTGTGAGTACTGGCCGCCTGTGCGCCCCTCAGGCTGGGACACCTGCCGTGGGGAGCCCTACAGCTCCGCCTCCCTCAGGGCTCCCCTTTTCAGTGGACTGTGTGCTGGGGCGGGAGGGGAGTCTGGCTGAGCGTCAGACAAGCAGAGCCCCCTTCACCGCAGGCCCCGTCCTGGGGATCCACCTGGGAGCTCAGGCTTGGGGAGAGCTGGGGCTTCCGGCCCTGAGCTGGAGGGACTGGGCATAGCGGCCCTTTCTGCGAGGGCAGCTGGACCAAGAGGAGTGAATGGTGGTGGAGGAGAGGGGAGGGGGCTTCAGTGGGTGGACAGGTGGTCTGCGCCTTCCCTGTGGCCAGGAGAGCTGAGGCTGGGTAGCCTTGGCGCAGGGTCCCGGAAGCTGAGACACGGGCCTTACTCTTGCCTCCTCCAGAAGGGACCCTGTCAGCACCGTGTCCCTTGGTCGAGGCCTCCTGGCTCCCCCAGGGGCCCCACTGAAACCAGGTCCCAAGAGACCGTGTCGGAGGCACCAGTCTGTGGGCAGGTGCCGGGGCTGGAACCAGGGAACCCTTCAGAGTATCGGTTGGGGTGAGATGGCACGTGAAGGGGACCTACGGGGGCAGCTGTCCAGGAGTGGTGCCCCCAGACCTGAGGGTACAGGAGCACATCCCAGACCAGCCCCACCCCCACCCCCGCCTGGAGGAAAGAAAGGGCCTTCAGCTTGGCCCTGCCTGGGCCCCGCCACCTTTTCTCAGAGGCAGAGTAGGTGGGAAAGCTTGGGCCCCCCACCCCACCCTACCCCTCCCAGGTCTGTCCCGGGGAGGGAGCCTGGAGCTTTCCGGCTTTGGGGCTCCATGTCCTGGGAGCCCCAAGGCAGTGGGAGCTGGGATGGTTTTCACAGGGGTCTGGCCAGTGTCTGTGGACCCACACGGACCGGGGCGCTCTGTGCTGGCACATCCTGGCCAGTGTGGGGGACCCCGAACACCCACCCTCCCAGTCTCTCTCCACTCCGAGGGGCACAGGCTGGGGGGCCAGGGGACAGAGCGAAGGGAGAAAATCGTGTCCATGTTCCGGAAGGGGCCGGTGGATCCTTCCTGGTCTGGGGGGTGAAGGCAGGGGGCGCACTGCGAGCCGAGTCTGGGGGCGGGGGCGAGGGAGCCGCCGCAGCTGGCAGAGAGGGGTGACTCTGTCCCCCACGCCTGCTGCACCCAGGGCAGCCCCACCTTCAGCCGTCTTATGTACTGGGGTATATGCCATTGTGTCATTTGAAGACCGGGTTCTGTGACCACGGAGTTTGGAAACTGGGGGCAGAAGAAAGGCCCCTCTCCTGTGTTGAGGGGGTGGGGGGGATGGTGCCTTCTAGAGGCTGACTGCTCTGACCTGCCTCCCAGCACCTGTCTTCCCAGGCCCACCCTCTCCTTGGAGGGCTTGGGGAAGGAAGGGTACAATGCCACCGTGTGCGCCCAAGCTGCCCGCCGTCCCTGCCGGTGGCAGATCTCCCCGACTGTCCCTTCACGTCGCCCTGCGGCTGTGAAGGCTTAGGCGGAGGCGGGCGTTCCCAGCCGGGCTGTGTCTGCCTCTCTCCCAAGATGCAGGTTGTGCCTCAGGGTGGGGGAGAGTAGGGGACAGAAGCGACGTGGGAACTCAGTGGTGGGCTCCGGGACGTGGGGAGGGGCCAGGACACAGCCCCGTGCCTCGGCTGCGGATGGCGCAGGAAGGGGTCTGTGCTGGGGCGAGGGGGCCGGAGGGTGGCTCGGAGGAGGAGCCGACCCTGTTTGCCTCTAGGAGAGCAGCCGGCCGCAGACGCACTGCGAGTGGAGTGACCGGGGGCTGTCGCGGAGAAGAGCCGGGGCGGGCAGGTCCTGGGCTCTTCCCGCCCCAACGACCCTGGCCTGAGTCTCGGGCTCTTGCTGAGGCCAGTGCAGATCTGCGTCTGATGACGTGACCAGCGTAGCCTCTCTGTCCCGCCACCCGAACCCTGGTTCCCGCCCAGCCCCGCCACCAACCCAGTCTGTGAGCTCTGCGCCCCGGGTTCTGCTTCGCTCGTGGGGAGAAGTGGGTACCTGGAGGGTTAAACGACATCGTGACACATCGTGACACAGAGTGACACGTAAACAGTGGCTATGTTGTCACGCCTCCTGATGGGTGCTGAGTGAAGGTGAAGTGACCCAGGACCCAACCGAGCCCAGGGGTGGGAGCGGCTCCCCGGGGACCAGGCTGTGGCAGGGGGAGGTGAGGTGTGTGCTGGGCGCGGGTCTTGGTCGATGCCTGGCCGTGCTGCGGCTTGGAGTCCAACCTGCTGGTGAATGATGGGGACCGGAGCGGCCAAGGAGGGGACGCCCAGGTCTTAGAAGGTAAAAGATGGGTATGCGGGAAGAGGCAGGCCAGGGGGCACTTGGACATCCCGAGAGGGAGCCGTGGACTGCACTGCAGGGCCCCAGAGGACACCTGTGGGTCCCTGCCCCCCAGTAAGTAGTGTCTCGCCGCTGCTGCCCCTGGGGGCTGAGAGTCCGCACATCTGGTCAGCTCCTTTCGGGGAGCACACCCTCGGCCTCCCGCCTCTTGGCTCTGAGAACCGCCTGGGGGAGACGGAGCCCTCAGAGCTGGGGCGATGGTGACCGGAAGCTGGAAGGCCCCCTGCTCCGTCCCCTCCCACGGCCACACAGTGCAGGGACAAGGACCGCACAGACCAATCCCCCGAGTCGTCCCTGAGCGGGAGACTCTGAGTCCCTCCTTTTGCCCTGGAATTGAGCAGTGTCAGAGGTGGCTTCTCCAGAGGCTGGAGAAAACCTGAGGCTGGCTCAGCCACCTCGTCACCTCTGAGCACCGTTCTCATCCATCCCCCACGGGGCCCGGGGGGCGGTGAGGGTGCCGCTCCGTGCAGCCCAGTCCGACTGCGCAATCATGTCGAACTGCTCGGAAGGTCAGCTGGCGTGTGCGCGTGCGCGTGCGTGTGCGTGTGCGTGTCCGTGTGCGTGTGTCGGGGGGGCCTGATAGTTGCAGCCTCCTTGGCACAGCTTGGGGTCGCCATGACCGACGAGACGGAGGCCGTGTGCTGGGGGACGGCAGGGGGGTCAGGAGCACGGCGTTGGCCACAGCAGGGTAGGGTTTGGGTGTCACCGATGGGCTGTGTGAACTGGGCCAGCTGATGGGCCCTGCGTGACTTAGTTTCCTCGTTTGTGGAAGGAGCTGGCACCCCCTCCCAGGGTTGTGGTGTGGGCCCACTGAGGGGGCGTTTGCAGAGGGTTTGGTGGATGTCTGGCCCGTGGGAGGAGCTCCGTCAGTGTTAGCTGGCGTTGTTATTAGGGCATCAGAGCCCAGAGGTGTTAGTCACGGAAGTCTTCCTGGAGGAGGAGGCTCTGGGGGTGGCGTTGGGGGAAACGCTTCTCTGTGAAAGATGGGGAAGAGGGGGGTGTGTGTCGGAGGCTGGGAGAGGGGAGCGTGGCTGGCAAGGAGCCAGCATGGGCCACACTGGGAACGCAGGTGCGGGGGCCGGGGGAGCAAAGGGTGGGAGACTCCGGCCCGTGCCACCTTCTAGCCGGGCCTCGCGGGCCTCAGTTTCCCCTTCCACCGCTTTCCAACGGCCTGAGCCGCGCCCCAGTCCTGAAACCTGGGCTCCGTGAGTCTGCCCTGGCCCCTCGGCTGCTGCGCAAGTCCCAGACTTTCCTGCACCTCAGTGTCCACGTGTTTTGTTGAAAAATTAGAGCATTGGGCGCTGGGAGAAGCCACTGCGGAGGCCCGTCCCCCCGCAGGGTGGAGGAAGCCCCCGGGCAGTGGGGGAGGG